TCACATCTGCACGCCCAAATTGATTATGACCCTAAACAACGGGTTTATCAATTATTATCAATTGGTAGAAATGGAACACATATTGATGGGATTGCACATGTTAGAGAACAAGGAGAGTGTTCTCTTATTGATCGTGCTATGATTCAAATTGGTGGTTTTAGAATGAAGTTCGTGTATTGTTAAAATCTAAGTGGAAGGATATTTAAGAATTTTTTATTTTTTAAATAAACTTAAAACTATCATATAAAAAGTTATTAATAATGTCATTTAATGAAAGGTCAGAAAAAAAAGAGAGTGAAGAAAAAGAAGATACGGTTAATGAAAGGTTACAAGAGGAAGAGGTGTATCAATTATTAATTGAAAACATGAAATCTATAGACATAAATGGAATAGAACAAGAAGAGGCAGTTAGTTCTCAAACACCTAAAGAAGCAATTTATTCACTTTTTTATGAAGGAATGAATATTGAGTATTCAAGGGTTGAATATTATTTTAATTTAACCGATTGGTATATAGGGTATTTGATTCAATTATATAAAAATGGGGATAAATCAATTGAGAAAGAATTACCAGTAGTCATATCATTTTCTATACAAAGAATTTCTGATGTGTTCAAAGAGGAAAGTGTGTTAGGGCTATTAGTGAAGTGGATTGATATTGAACTTCAAGTATTTAGAAGATTTGATGAAGGAATCAAAATTATTGAACAAGTAGTTTCAATTGCAGGATTTAATATTACTAATTGGATGAAATATATTGAAGCACTAAGACTTAAAGGAGATTTTGAAAAAAGTATTCAAGAAAGTAATGTTGAGAAGAATAATATTGAGAGAGAAGTAATTGAGAAAACAAGAAAAATAATAAATAGAATGATCCATGTAATGAAAGGGGCTGATAGAGAAAGTTCAATAGCAGCATGCGATTATGGTATTTGTTTTGAGCAAATTCATGGAAATAGTATAAGTGTGGAAAATATGATAAAGAAGAGAAGAGAGGTAATTAATATTATTGAAAATAAAGAGAAAAAAGCACAAAAACAAGAAGAGTTTACAAAGAAAAAAAAGAGATATGAAAAAGGTATCAAACAAATAAATGATAAAACAAAGAAAGCAACAAGAGTAAGTGAAGACAAAATTAGAAAAGTTCCAAGAAGGGGAAGAATTGGGTTTTCATTGAAGTAAAGAAAACACAAAAGAATTAATTAAATTGATAGATTTGAAAGCTAAGTTATTCACTGACAAAATAAAAGAGAAGAATTCCACTGACAGTTATTTTGTTTACAATCTATTTCAGAAGTTCTATTTGAACAAGTCTGAAAAGTAATGGAAGCACAATAAAATTTAACAAAATTAACACAAGTAATATAAACATTGATTGTTGTTGTTGGGAAATTTTTAATTGGAGTACCTTCTATATAAGGAGAAGATGTATCAGAATTTGAAACACCATAAAATCCTGGAGGTAGTTGATCACTAAATTCAAAAGAACTTGACCAACAATTCCAAGGTAATTCTGAAATGACTTGTTTTGGTATTGTTTCATTAAGAGCAACTGATAAAAGATAAGAATTACCATAATCATTAAACGAACAGGTATAATCAGGTTGAATAATGAATAGAATTCCAATGATAATACAAACAAAAATAAGGAAAAGAATGAGAGTTGTAAAGATAATTGAGAAAGATATTTTGAATTTTTTATTTAAC